ATACAATACATATATTAAATGTTTTAAAAAATTCATTTGAATGTAAAAGGTATTATTTTGTTCGAACAATTCTTGTAAACGCACTCCTTGTTAGTTAAGACACGTTTCTATAAATTATTCACATAAAATAATATTTAATATATATATATATATTAAAATATTAATATACTTATATTGATCGAACCCATGTACATTTAATAGCTATCTAATAACATGCAACAAATAAGAAAATGTTAAAACAAAACACAACGCAAGTCGAATAGACCGCACTAAAATATGACAAAAAGACAAAAACTTTAAAGATCAAACTGTAGAACCAGCAAAGCTTAGAGTAACCGTTGCGAATATTATACAAATTAGGCGCCCAAATCGTAAATAAACCAACATCACTATTCAGAACTAGAATAAAGAAAATTATTAAAATTTGAGGGTCAAACTATAAAACAAACAAAGTCATGGCCATAAACAAATACAACACGTAAGCTAGGTACCGGAATCATAATTTAACCACCATCAATATTCAGGGCAAAAATAGAAATTATTAAATTTTGAGGATTGAATCAAACATTTACCCCAAACATGGACAATGACTAAAATATAAACGGAGTAAAACTTGAGATCAAAATTAAAATAAATGAATATTTATTTCGTTCCAAATCTTCTTTTTCCTTTTTTTTGTTGCATGTTGAAGTTTTAACCTTTTGCTTGTTTTCTCGTTTTTTATTTTCGTTGCTCTGGCCGAGAAGCGTCAACTAGTGGTGACGTAAAAGGATTAGAGGGTAAAACGTTGTATCCCGAGGCTCCTTTTGTCATTTTCGATTCTTATCGACGGGGAATCCAACATCGACAGCAGACCTCGGGTATCGGTGAGTCACGGGCGAGTGGATCAGGCACACAGGAGCGTAGGATAACTGAAGAGGCGCGCGTGTGATGCACGTGCAAATCCGAATGGTTGGATGTCCTTGGTGAAGCTGGGTTGTTGGATCGCTAATCGGATCCAACGGCTATGATGCATTAGCGGCGGCAGCTGATGAAGAGCTTGGTGGAATCCCTAGTTTGGTTGGGTCTTGGGCGTGAGCTTACCTTGGGACTGGTTGTATTTGGGTTGTAATATTGGGCCTATAACAAAAATTATAATAAAAAAATAAATAATAATTTATTATTATTAAATAATAATAACCCAAACAAAATGAGTGTCTACATCATAAGTAATTTAATGTCTCATTCCATAAATAAAACGAGAGGTTCAAATCTTAATGTTTTGAATGAAAAAACTAGATTAAGAAAATAACCCTTATGATGGGCCTCTAATATATTACTAGTCTGAATTAATCAATCATTAAGTTAAAAACAAATGATTACACCAAAAGATTTTTTTTTTTAAACTATGAATGGAAGCATCCTAACACGCACTATAAATTTAGTAAAACACAAGGAGTGACAGAGCTTAAACACATTAATTACAAACTAGTTGACCACAATGCAAATACCATTCTCACCCAAAAGATTCTTCCTGGAAATCTCATACCAGTTCAACCAATAATGGAATTAGGATTGGACTACATAGGGATAAGTCGTTTAATATTAAAACAAATATAATATTTAAAATTAAATAAATCATAAAACTTAAAAGATTATGATTAATTTTCGTTAATTTTGAAATTGAAGGATTTAAAGAATAATTAAATTAAAAAAGTTAAATGGTAAAGACATAATTTTTTTGAATTAATCACTGATATTTGATATATTGACCTAATAATCCATATCGGATACTGCAGAGGCGAGGGCAATCCTCCCAACCCAGTTTGCTCCATTCACAAACGCCAGGATTCGAACCCCTGATCTTACTTAAAAGACATAGTATCTCATCCTACTAGACCAACTGATTGTTGATAGACATAATTTTATTTTAAGATTGAAAGAGTCCTACAAAATAATTACTCCTCTCACCTATGATCATTAACAATCTAGAAAACCTTTATAGGTTAGCCCAATACAAATATAATAAAAAATCATCTAACGTAATTCATATATATTTTTAATTTAAGAATATAAAAACAATCGTTTATATATTAGATCTAGAAAATATATATTAATTGGAATAATATAATTTTCTTAACGTAATTTATACATATTTTTTTAGGGTAAATTGTTTATCTGATCACTTACTTATTACTTAATTTATGTTTTGGTCTCTCAACTATTATTTTTTTTCAAATCATATTTAACGTTACGTTTTGGTCACTCGATGTTATAAAATTAACAATGATGGTAACATGATTTTTTTTTAATTAACTTTCAATCTTTATATGACATTATCTTATTATAATACGCCAATATCACTATTAAACTTTTAAAGACATGTTATCAAAATAAAATTAAAATGTAATATTATTTATGATTTAAAATAAATAATAGTTGGATGATCAAATCAGAAACTAAATAATAACTAGATATTAAACTAAATAAGCAATAGATATGATTCGTCCTTGAATTCACATGTTGATTTTTTCTTTTATAAATAATATATCACTTATTTGTATTTCCAAAAAAAAGAAAACGACAGAAAGTAAAGAAGCGATTGGTCATTTGAGGCCAACGTTTATCTAGCTTCTATTGTCTTTTGTGGGCCAATTCCATTAATAGCTGCATTGGTCGTGCTTGGCATTTTCCACTATGGTGTCTTGTACGGTGGTGAATAGAGGTGCACAAAATTCGAATATTCGATTTTGTATCAAAAATATATAAAATTGGATTTTAGAAAAATCGATTTTTTTAAATTGTATCGGATATTTTAAAATCGGATAGTATAACCGGTTTTGTAAAAAATTAGACGAGTAGTTTTTTTATCGGATTAAAAACCAGTTTGAAAAAAATCGGATAAAAACCGGTTTTTTATTTCAAAAAAATTCGGTTTGGGGTTTAAAAAACTTTGAAGAAGAGATGGCGATGTAGTTTTTAAACTTTGTTTCAATTTTCGTAAATTTTGTTTCAATTATCAAACTTGAAAGTTTTTAAGTATTTGAATTTATCGAACTTGGAAGTATTTAAGTATTTCAATTATCGTAAACTTTGGTGCAATTGATGACGATGTAATTTTAATAATACTAAAATAGGTTTTTTTATAGCCGATTTTTTTAAAAATCGGTTTTTTTCAAACCGAAACTGGTTACATAGATTATACCATTCGACCCTCCAAACCGATTGAAACCGAATCATTTTTTTAAAATTCGATTTTTTGGTTAGATAAAAAAATAGAATCGATTTTTTATCCAACTTTATACATGTGGTGAGGCCGGTGAAATAAAAAATGACCACATGGCACGCTACAACAATTTATTGGCTTTTACTTCGACCATTTTCTTATTCTTCCGTTTGTACGATTGCCGTCATTAATCATCAATATTTGATTCATTAATTTCTTTTTTTACTCACCAAAGAAAAATATCCATTAAATAAGAATTAAATTTTAAATGTGAGTCTCGTTAAAAATCATCTCCTAAACTTAGACGGAGGAAGAGAATACCCACACTCGGAAAAGAAACAAAAAACCAGCAAAGACTAAGACAAAACAACCCTTACAAAAACAGAATCAGCCAACCCAACTCGACAAAACCAACAAAATAGAAGTGCTACAACATACTTAACCAACAGCCACCAATTAAATTTGAACTCAAAGACACCTCCGCAACCAGCAACTTTCGTAGAATCTGTCCCACCAATTAATCGATTAATTTAGATTACATTAAATGTAATTTGAAAGGAATAATTGGATTGATCGTCAAATCTATGTGGTGCCAAGATTATATTGTCGGTCATTAGCGGTTTATTTTTTAATTTAAATGAAAAATTATGATCAGTAAAAAATAATTATTGATTGATATTTGAATGAAGAGAATGGATCATCATGAAAAGAAGAAAAATATATTCAAGATAATCGGTCATGATGGTGAGTGGTTCCCTTCCTTCTTTCGGTCTTAATTAGAGATATTTATAGTGAATTTTAGTGTGTATCATTAATAAGGTTATTATGACCATCTGTACGCTAATAGATTAGAAGAATTTAATCATCAGATTTTGAATTTTATTTTGATGTGTCATTTGGACCCGTCATAGATATTTTCTATGCATTATATTTAACTAGAAGCTTTTATTTAATAGTGTAGACTAATCAAAAACTCGAAATTTTCCAAAGATCATCTCTGAAAATATAACAAATAATTTATGAGTTGAGTGCTGTTAAATATGGATAATAAAAGTCTTATGTCTTCATTATTTAAGTTCAAAATAATAAATATTTATTAAATATTTAAATTTGAAATTGATGAAAACCCAATTTTACTTAATTTAAATTAATATAGACGTAATTATGTCCTCTATAATCATACAAATGGACAGGAATAACTTAATCCTTTCCTTTTTCTTAAATTTGATTTCTTATTAATAATATTGTGAAAAAATATATTTTAAAAGTATTTAGTAAAGTAATATTTAAATATATTTTATAAAATTTAATTATTTAAAATAATTGTAGTAAAAAGTTGACCATCAAAATCTAAGATACTAAAATCTTTAGGTTAAACTATACGTTTAATATTTCAATTATCACTTTTGTTTTGTTTTATTCATTCAACTATTATTTTTTAAAATCATTCATATTGTTACGTTTTAATTTTATTTTGGTCACTGATCATTACAAAAATAATTTAACTGTTGATGTGATATTTTATATTTTTTTCAATGATAAAGTTATTATCTTATGGTGACACATCAGTATCACTTTTAATTTTTTAATGACATGTGACAAAAAATAAACGTTAGATATGATTATTTTTTTTAAAGTTAGACCATCAAAACAAAAAAAAAAGTGACAGTTGTAGCAATAAACGTGTATACCCAAATTTTTTGTTTAAAATTCTGTACACCATATTTCTTAAAAAATTTATCTCAAGGACGCTATAAATTTGTGTCGTCCTTGTGTTTCTCAGATATATAATAATAGTATCGTTGATTTGAATAAGGAGAGTGCAAGATAAAAACAAAATGAACATGGAGCTAACTCCCAAGTTTCCGGTAACTTTCGACGAGACCGAAGGTGGTGGATACTACAACTGGGCCGCTGCCGACTCTCCGGTGCTCGGTGAAGCCAAAGTTGCAGCTGGTAAGCTTGTATTGAAGCCACGGGGCTTTGGTCTTCCACACTATTCGGATTGCCCCAAAATAGGTTATGTTCTTGAAGGTGAGTCTTTTGAGTTTTCTATTCAGCCTCGCATGTCTATGAATTCATTCAAAACATGATTTCTTGATGATGATCTTTAGGGATGGACTGCCAGGGGCGGATGAGATCGTTTATTTTAGATATTTTCTTTATATTTTTTTTATGATAATTTGATTTTATTTTTCGTTATAAAATCTTGCGTCGGTCCTGATAATATCGATTTGTGTTAGGTGTGTGTGGAGTTGGATTAACGATGCCAGGAAACACAAAAGAGACGATGAGTTTCATTGGAATTAAGAAAGGGGACGTTATCCCAATTCCATATGCATCAGTTTCATGGTGGTACAATTATGGAGATTCTGATGTGATTATAGTGTTCTTAGCTGATGCAACCAATGCTTATATTGCCGGTGAAATCACCTATTTCTTGTTAACCGGACCTCTGGGATTCATAGCAGCTTTCTCACCTGAATTCATTGCCAGAACTTACCAAATCAGTGTTCAAAAGGCTGAAAAACTAGCAAGTAGTCAAAAGGGGGTCTTTCTCCTCAGGCTCGATGAAGAACAAGCTGAAACCATCCCCGAACCGACCAAGGAGCTCGGAAACATTTGGACCCGAAACATCGAAGCTTTGTCTCCCGACGTTGAAGTCGACAATGGTGGCAAATCCACCATCTTAAAGGGTAGTCAATTTCCTCTACTTGAACAAGTGGGGCTTACTGTCACTCGTTTAGTACTCGCACCCAAAGCCACAAGGGCACCATCCTACGCATCTCATCCACGGATGTTCTACGTTGCTAAAGGAACCGGTAAAGTACAGATTGTGAGTCTCCAAGGCAGACTTGTACTCGACACCGAAGTCGAGACCGGCCAATTATTTGTGGTGCCGAAATTGTTCATGGTTACTATATCAGCCGAGGAAGAAGGCATAGAATTGGTCTCGGTTGTAACATCTTCAAGGTGACCGCAGCTAATTCATTTCCTTCATATATATTGTTGATATGTATGTATAATTAATCACTTGTCAATTGATTTGCAGAGCCCTGATAGGAGAATTGGGAAGTAAAAGGTCCGTTTTGAATACGGTTCCCTCGGTTGTGCAAGTCAGCCTTAATGTGACCGGAGAGCTAACTCAATATTTCATGCAGAAGATGGAGATCGGCACCGTTATTGTCCCTGCTATGAACTTGCACCCTTCTTAAAAGCCGATGACGATAACTTATGGTTGTGCAATTTGGGTTTCAATAAAATGCATTATATGTTTAGAATAAAGCGGTTTAAACCTTCTATTTATTTTTATTTTAATCCCGTTTAATATTAAATCATAAATGAAAAGGAAACACTTATGCATTATATTTTATTAACATAAAATTCTTGTATTCTATGCTATTTCTTTTTTCTTCTTTTTATATTATATTCCCTTCTAAAATGAAAGTTTTATAGTTTCATTCATGTATCATATGTCGTTATAGTTATCATTCTCCGACATCTTTTTCAATAACTTAGAATATCAATGATATTTTATTATCTTTATCGCTCTATCAATTTAGATTTTACTTAAATCACTTTAAAACTTTAAATCCTAACCAATATAATATATAATATCTACCATCCAATCAACATAGAATCATGATATATAATTTGCTTCTACCTTCTCTACTTCTTCATTATTGGAATTTAAAAGAAAATATTTCATCATCGAGAAATAAATACTTTTAGTACTTTTAATACAATATTTCAAATATTTATAGCAAATATAATTAATGAATTTCAATGGTGGATCCATAAATATTTTATAGAGTGGACACACATATTTAAATAACACAAATCATTTGAATGGAGTGAATATAAATAAAATTTTAAAGTATACACCGTTAAATAAAATTGGACACTATTAACAAAATGAACTAATAATTAAAAAAAACTAAATTTTAAAGTGGACATATGATTCATATGGATGCACCTCTAGATTTGGTAGATTGGATAACAGATTAAATGATTAGTAATTCGGGTGACTACAACAACAAAATCAAATAGCCCTTATTTCACATAATTTAAAATGTTATAAGATTCACAGACTTACAATAAAAAGGTTTAGGGTTAGGCCTAGATTCAGTTGGTCCCATTATGGCCGTATCTAGGCCTAGGCCTATTTACGCTATGGTCCATCCCATGCCTTAAAAAAGTATATTATTTATTAGTCATCCACTTATTATTTAGTTTATATTTTGGTCATCTAATTATTATTTATTTTAAATCACACTTAATATTATGTTTTGATTTTATTTTCGTCACTCGTCTTTAAAAAATTAGTTGTGATGTTGTCATATCATCATTAAATAATAACACGCTAGGATTGAAAAATAATTTAAAAATGTCATATTAACATCATTGTTAATTTTTTAATGGTATATGATCAAAACAAAACCAAAACATTAAGATATGTATGATTTTAAAAAAATAAATAGTTGAGTGACTAAAACATAAATTAAGTAATAGGTGGATGATTAAATAGATAGTTTACCCTAAAGAAAATATATGTATGAATTAGGTTAAGAAAATTATATTAATATATTTTTTCTAGATTTAATCAATATATATGTATATGTAATTTGTCGAAACGATTTTTAAAGGCAGGGAAGCGATATTTTGAAAACCACATCATTTTTAATTATTCTCTTTACGATTGAATTTTAATTAAAAACAATGTGATTTTAGAAAACCTCTCGTTTCGAAAATTTGAAAATTCATTCACGATAAAAATACGGGTTCAAAGAGTCGCCACCAATATTTGATTAGGGTGTGATTGGACACCCAAAAATGTTTTGTCATTTTAAAATAAAAAATTAATTTTAATTAAAATAACAAATTTAGGTCTGCGTTACCAAAATTCGAGTTCGGGAGTTGGTTACGTGTGGGGAAGGATTAACACCCCCACAGCGCCCTAAATTAGTACCTCGTCGATTAATTAATGTCTTTGCAATGAAATTTACAAATTCGATTTTAATTTGATTTATGATCCCCAACAAATAACAACACATGAATTCCACCATATTCAAAAGCAACAAGATTGATTAAGTTAAAATTATCAAGCCTTTAGAAAGATAAAGAATATTCGATTATTTACAAATATCGAGACAAGATCTTAGATAAGTTCTAACTATCTTTTCTCGATAAATTTAAAGAGCCGAATATTTCTTTTTCTTTCGTTCCCAAATTTTAAAATAATGAATCAATTTAATAGGTGTCACTGATGGGATACAATTTTAATTTAAATCGTTAGAAGCAGATATCTAATAAGTTAAGACAACCCACTTAAAATAATTTTAAATTAAAAGGGTATTACCCTTAATCTAATTATGTTGTATGGTCGAGTTATGCACACGAGAATATCATACATAAACTAAATAGATAATGCCACACATTCGAATAATTATCTAAATTTAAAATAATATATTCACATGCATTTAGGTTATCTATTTTACAAAGGAAAATTTGAATTATTAATATTTGAATCTATCATATTCTCATTAATGTGTTACAAGGGCTTTTATGCTAAATCGATTAACATCCAAATTAATATTTATCTTATTTTCAAGGTCTAAGATAAAGTATAATTGACTTGGTACATACAAGCATACAACAAAATGAACATGCATTGAAGTAAAACAACATAAAATTAAATGTGTTATTAATAACTCAAATCTCATATTCAAAATTTTCAAAGAGGACCAAAGTGAAAGAAAATTAAATTAGGCATGCAAAAATAGAAATTAACCGCTGAAATAAATAAACCTGATGAGTGACTAAAATTAAATGCACGCAACAATTGATAACTAAATTAAAAAAATAGAAAAGATTCTATTCGAGGACTAAGATATAACATGCAAAAACTCGAGGTCAAATGTATAAAAAATAGAAATTAAATATAATGATATTTAGGATTAAAATTAAATGTACACAAAATAAAGAGACAAAATTAACATGCCAACATTCGATTTGAGGACTAATACGAAACATGCAAAGATTACATGATTAAATGCCTAAAACAACCAAACTTTAATAAGATAATATTTAGGACCAAAATGAAACATGTAAAAAATGGAATCCTGATGTCCAAACCATAAAACATTGGTGAAGTTAACCCTAGGACTAAAATGAAAACCAGGAAAAATCTAAGCCAAATATGAAAAGTAATAAAAACTTAAAAACAACACAACTCAGGACTGAAATGCAACACGCGTAAAGACTGATGCCATAATCAGAAACGTTTAAAGGATGAACCACGGATTAAAATGCACTAAAAGAAAAATGAGAAGGATTTAAACTGAGAATAACCCATTCAAGCGCTGAAACGTATCTCTATTATCTCATAAAACGCTGTCATTTTGGCCATACCTGAAGCGACGTCGTTTTGATCAAATCATATATGACATATAGGGTAAATTTTATTAAACTAAATATCTCATCAGCCTAAACCTAAAAACCTCGCCGCTTTCCCTCTCCCTCTCTTATATTCCTTCGTAGCCCTCGCTCTCCTCAGACCCTAAACACGGCAGCCACCGTGGCTACCACCCCAAGCTACCCAGACGAAAAGCCTAAACCAAAACCAAGCTCTTCGGTTCCCTCTAGACCACAAACCCAGGGCAAAAACCTACTAAATCTCTGACCACCACCAACGATGGTCGGTTTAAGCGAAACCTAGACCTAAACCAAACTCTCTTCTACCCAAAACTTTCGGTATCCACACATGCAAGCCTCGAATCGGTCTCTCGATGCTCAACCGACACAACCATGCTCTAAAGGCTAAGGTAAAATACTCTACATTGCTTTCTTTCTTAAAATTGAAACCCACAACTTCCCTATATACTAACTAGCACAGATCCAAGCTTAGAAATGAACATGCAAAGACCTAAGGGCCATTGAAACTTTCGAATACTCACCCCGATGATGACCCCGGCGAGGCTCCTCCTCCTTTTTGCTTCAAGGGATGCTCAGAATGCTCTAACTTCCGGAGAAGACCTGAAAAAGAACACAGGTAAATGACCCCCTTTTTTGTTGGTTCGAAATCATTTTTTTAATAATGGGAAAACAATGTAAGAAACAAATAAATCTTTTTCAAACGTTTTGTTTCTACTGCTTTGTATTCATTGCACTTTGTTGAGTTAATCGATTGACGGAATCGGCCAAGAGGGGGGTGAATTGGCAATTAAAAAATTTGTGGAAGCTTTTGCAGAAAATTGAAAGTAATTGCACATCGATTTAGAGTGGTTCGACTTTATCAACCAAAGTCTACGTCCACTACCTTAGCTATCCACACTAAGGATTGTCCAACAAATTCACTAATTTGTTCTTTCTTTTGAGGCCAAAGAGATAACCTTACAACTCCCTCAAGAATATACCCATATTCTTGAGAACACTCTTTTCTCAAAGAGAATATTACAAATTTGCAAACTTATAAGAAAAACCTCACAAGGCAAATATGTTTGCACAATTATAGAACAAAGAAAGAACACTCAAGAATAAATACGATTGAGCACAATAAGTGTTCTTGAAAGAAAAATGAATATTGAATAAAAAATAGGCTTGAAATGCTCAAACTTGAGGTTTGATGCTTTCTCTTTGATTCTCTCTTGATTCTAGTTGCTTGATGTTTCTTGTTGTTGATCAATGGCTTCTAAGCTTGCTTAAATACACCTTGAATCACTTCTGAACGTTGGGGATCATTAATGAAGTTATTGGAGCCGTTTAAGTGTAAAACAATTAATATTTCTACTTAGAGCGTGGGGGGAATCGGTTCCCTAAGTGTAAAATTCAAATATTTCGACCGTTGAACAATAGGGGGAATCGATACCCCTGGGGGGGAATCGGTTCCCTCCGAGCATACTGGAATTCTCGGAGCCAAACCATTCAAGGGGAATCGGTACCCCCTTGGGGGAATCGGTTCCCTCTGAGCAATCTGGAATTTTTGGCTTTGAAATGGTTCAAAATATTTTGTAAAATCGTTTTGAAATTATTTTAAGATTACACTTGAGTAAGGATTTAAAATAAACTTTAAAATACTTTGAGTAATATTTTGATATTCGATTAATATATTGAATGTTCTTAGAAAAATATTTTTCAAATTTAAAATTCTTTTAATTTAATTTGTTATATCGAAACATCAAAATGTTTTCAACAATCTCCCCCTTTTTGATATAACAAAACATTTTAAGATTTTCTAATTTCAAAAATGAATTTTGATTTTGAAAAATACTACTCCCTCTTACTTTAACACTACTCCTCTTCATAAACGCTTTTAACATTTCTCCCCCTTTTTGTTAAATCAAAAAGACTCGTAAAAGATTTTAAAC